GTCGAGTATTACGTCGACATGCTCCTTGACAAGCTCTAAAAAGAAGTAGCTTTTTTACCACATATCTCGTTTTTTGTTTCAAAAGTGCACGATGATAGAGAGTTTCAAGCTCTATCAGAATATCTAATTCCTTCTTTAGAAATGCATTTGTATAGTAACTATATTTTGAAAAGGAAAAAAGTAACGATTTTCGGTCCTTGTCAATTCACAGTGCGTTCACTGTACTCAAATTTTCTTTTCGATAAATGAATATAAGTAAATAAGTAAATATACAGGCTGATATAAAACTCCACGCTCTTTCAGAATATATCATTACTTTTTTAAAAATACGTTGCTATGATAACGATATCCCCAAAATACAGACTACAGCTTATTTTTTCCAGGCGTATATATAAATACAGGATGTCCCAAAAGTCATGATCACTTAATAAATTCATATAACTTCTTTATTGATTAAGCTTAATCCAACAATATTATTCTTAAACACAAAATTCATAAATATCCTATAAAGGCTACAACTTTTGGCTGCAATACAAAAAGTTCACATTTTTTCAATGCTAGAAAACAATATTCAAAGTTTTCATATATTTATTTTGATTTCTATCGTTAATATGAATTTTAAATCATTAACATCTAGGGGTGTTGCTCTGAAGACTAACTATTATTCTTTTTGACTAATCTTTAGTCAATTATAGTCAGAAAACTACAGTCTGTGTCAAAATTAACGTCATATTGAGAAAGACCACTGAAAATTGATTCACTTCTTATATTTCAAATGTTTTTAACACCTCCTTTTCGTGACAAAATTGATCAGCATTCCTTTAGCTGGTGTTCCACTGTTTATACAGTAGAACTTCGCAACTGAGATTTTCTTTAGGACAAAGCGCTTTTTCGATTCACTCCTATGCCTACACCCACATGTAGTGTTGTGTCAACCAGCGAATCCAAAAAAAATTATATTCTTCTCTTAAAATATTTCATTGCAAATTCTTTTGCATTCACGATGAAACATCAAGTAAAGGAATACCGATTTTCTGGAACTCACATATCTTTTCGAAGAAAATAGTTAGTGTAAGTTTTAAGTAAAAGTTTTTCGGTTCACGAACCCCTCTGCTTTCAATTACAGACACGTCCAGCACTACAAATGTTAGCAGTCGTGAACAACAGACGTGAGACTTCTTGTGCTGAGTTCAGGAGAAACAAAAAACACACTACACAGTATGAACGACAAGACTTGAACTGCTCTGGAATGTTCCAAAGCCTCTCTGTCGAAATAGAAATGGCTAGAATACTTTTGCCACTGTTCTCAATAGTACAGTTTCTGATTTATGCAAAAATAAAAATTTGCAGTCAGAATGTCCAGAATGATTAGTTGTGATGCATTGATTAGTCATTCTTAATATGATCATTATAAACAGATTTGCCAGTTCAACCAATGGATAGCATGATAATACAGTTATAAATTAGGAAGAAATGAAAGCGAAAAGAAAACTAAAACTAAAATTAACGAGCGAATAATAACAATTTAAACAAAAATAGAACGCCAGTAAGAAAAAGAAAATTTTGTTCTAAATGCACAAATAAATAAAACAGATTAGTTTTATACCGATCAATAATCTCAGAAAATAACTACAATGTGTGAAAGCTTTCTCAATATTGCATATTGTGTATTTGTATAATAAGGCTAGATAAACTATGTGAGTTTCACATTTCAGTTCCAAAAATGGTTGTACTACGAAGCTTTTAATAAATTTCTTTTTTAACATTGCTATATCTGGTGAATATGCCAATATAGAACATATGCTAAAAATTATATGCAATAAAATATTTTTCAAAAAAAGGTTTGACAGATGAAAATTTGTTGTTGCTCATTGTTTCATTCTGTATTTTTCTCTTTGGAGTTAATTATTATGATTTTTCACGTTCGACAAATTGTAGAAAACAAAACGAATGTTCTTCGACTAAAAAAAATTGATATTTTTTTCCAATGGCATATTATTATTTCAGGAATTTGAATATCTTTGTATGAATACATTGCATAGTGCTTATTCGACAGAAACTTAAAATTGCGAAACTTATACGAATACAACATCGGATTTATAACATAATTTCAATTAACGTTTTTTTCAAAAGATCAATCCCACAAGTGAATATCTCGAAATGGTCCATTCATTTTTGGTCGAAAGATATTGTATGAACATATATGGAATTGACAACGTTAATATTCAACATTATATTTAAATTTGTCCATACAGATCAGAAGAGATCGATTCAAGAAAAAAAACCTCATCTTAAAAAATCGTTTTTCAATTAGACCCTAGTATTGACTATCCCGGTCTATAGAATATGCCACGTTATGAATACACAAACGAATCATACATTTTATCAACTAAAAGTAATCCAATGGTGTTAAAATCATTTTTTCTTTTAATCTATAAATTAAGCTAACTATACACGCACATATATATACAAATATATACAAGTACCTACACACACAAACCTATTTTAACCAGAATAAACAACAACAACAAAAATACAATAAAAAATTGAATCGAGCCTATACATATATGAAGTATGACTGAATTACATTTATGTCACAAGGATTTAATATAAATATATAATTAATCGAACATATTTATCAATATATAAACTTTTCTAATTCATTTTTAATAATGTCAAATGTTGATGATTGAGTTAAATTATCTATTAAGTTTAATATATTTGAATAATTTTTATTATTTTGTTCAAGATTTTTCCATAATTTTAATGTTTGTGACGTTTTTTCTTGAAAATATTCTACTTTTTGAATTGATTTCATTTTCACTTGAACAATATTATCATTTATATACATTATAATATTGAGTCCACATTTTAAATCAAATGTTCGTTCATAAGCATAGCATTGAGATTTTAATGAATCAAATGATAAAGACGAAATAAAATTTAGAAATTGATGTCCAGCAAATGTTATTGTACCATTTATTGGTAATAGTTTTATCATTTCATTCATCTCATATTTAGCAGCGAAACCAAAATCAATTAATTTCAATTGTTGAATATGAGTATTGAACATTAAATTTTGTGGATCTAAATCACGATGAATAACATCACACTCATAAATATTGAATTATATCAATAAGTTGTTTCGATTGAATTAATGGTAATGTTTTAATAGATTTCAATTCATTTTTAAATAATAAAAAATTTCCTAAATATCAAGATAAATAGATAAATTATAAATAAGATTATGTCTTATTTTAATTTTCAACAAAAAGAAATGTTTCAAATAAAAATCTTCCATTCGATATATACATAATCGTGATTTAGTCTTTCAAAAGTCAGATCCATAAAATTTTTTTTCTCAACAAAAAACGAAATTTTACTTATTTTTTCCCGAAAACAAAATTTCAAATTTTCTTAATCATCAAAATAAGGTTTCCAAACATATAGTGAATTTTTAATTTAAATATTAAATTTCTTTTTGAAGAAGAAACAACTAATTCCACGAAGAAAAAAAACAACGTCGATTCATTTTCAATAAGCTTCTAGTCGATGATCTACAGGCATCAATCAACCTCACAACATTTTTCTTCGAAATTAATAGCTTTTTCTATTAATCAATTACAATCTTTTATCTTTAATTATTTGTAGATTTTTTTTCTAATCATCGAATAAACAGTACTATTCAATATTAGTTTTTTATTTATTTTATCGATAAAAAAAAACAATCAAATTTAAAATTAACTATGAATTAAAAATCATATTTCGTAGATTAATAGAACTATTTAAAAAATTAACGTTTCGATTGTTCGACTGAATAATACCAAAATTTAAGCTTCTTAGATTAGTGTGTGATTCATCTAATAAAAACAAACGAAACAGGGCGTTCATGTTCTACAATAGTTGCTCCAATAATGACATATTTCATTGAAAATATTTGTTACAGAGGCGATTTATCGAAATTTTGATTTATTTTCTCATGATAAAAAACAGAAAATTCCCTGTTTTGTGAAACCATTCATTATCAATAAATTATTCTACACCTTTCTCTTTCATTAATAAGGTTTTTTTAAACAACCATTTTATCAATCATTATTCTCTTTATTGATTATTTATGTGGTATATAACTTTAATAATTTTCCTTAGAAAAAAAAATAATAATTATTCTTAACATTCATCTATCATGACGAAAAAGTTTTTTTCTAAGTCTTATTTAGACATTTTCTATCGAAGAAGTAATCAATTCTGATATTCTTGAATTTCATAAAACCACTTATCTAATTCTGTTTCCCTTCATCTTAGACAAGAAAAATAATTTATTTTTCTTTGTCTAAATGTCTTAAACTAGTTTATATGTGAAGAAAAATGTTACCTGTTGATGATGAATATATAATATCTTGAAAAAATAAATTAAATTTATTTGAAACGTTTAATTGTTTTAATTGTTGTGTTATTTTAATTTCATTAAAATATAATGATGAATATTTATTTTGTGTACAAATTTTAATAACACAATGTTCAGGATCATCTTGACAAGCATTGTTTTCAGTTTTTTCTAATAAATAAACATTTGAAGTTGAACCTTTTCCTAATTTTCTTCTAATATAATATTTATTAGCAAGTAAAATATCAATATGATTTATATTTAATGTTACATATTGATAAAAATCCATATCCATTATTAAAAACTTTGTAAATATTGTCCAATGTATCTTTATTAAGACGTATTTTTTTCGATTGTTGATTTAATAGTGTTGTGGTTGTTGTCATATTGTTTGATGTTGTTGATTCAAATGAATAATCAAACATTTCCAAATTTGGACTTTCAAAATAATTATATACACAAAAAAATGGATCTTTTTCAACATAAAAAAATCTTATATATTTAATATTTGTCAGAAAACCATAAATTTTCTTACGACCTTGTATATTTAATAGCATTTCTAAATATTGTAATATTTCATCTTTGGCCGATTTATCTTCTAGAGAAACATTTGGCGCTATTAATTCACCAATCCATACAACAAAGTCTTCAATACAGTCATATTGTTTGTTAATGTCGAGATTTATATTTTTAAACATAAATGTACAAGCAGGACATTTTCCTCCTAAATCAAATGTTTTATGTTTATTTAAATATGTCAATGATGTTGAGTCATTAAGTATGAATAATAATTTAACTATTAGTGCATCAAATGTATCTTGAATTTTATCTTCGCAGTTTTATTCGTATATGATAAAACATTGTCTAAATAATCTTGAATGTAATTTTGTATTGTTTCATTAAAATGACTTGTTTCTTGTAACAAAAAATTAATATCAAACGGACAAAGGTTATTGTGGAACTCAAATATATTTTCGAAGAAAATAGTGAGGGTAAGTTTTAAATGCGAGTTTTTTCCGGCTCCCCCCTCCCAATTACAGACATCATAGCAACGGGAAAGAGAACATTATAGACATACCCCCCATTACAGATCATAGGAACTCCAGAAAAAAAAGGAAAAAATTTTATTCGAAGTATAGAAATAAAAATGACAGCATTTGCTGACAATCGGTTATCATTAGAAAAGAACCATCATGTTTTAAAGAATTTAAACACTGTATTTTGTCATTAGTATAATAAATTTTTTTAATGCAATAGTAGAAAAAAAATCAGTGTAAAAAATGAGAAGAAATTTTGACTACTCTGGCATAAGCTAGAGTATTGTGGAAAAGTTGAAATTAATAACATTCGTATACTAGTATTCCTGTAAGTTCAGTTTGGATTTTTGTCCACATAAATGTATTTAAGATGTCAACGATCATAAGCAATCATCGATTGATCAAGTTATTAATTTGAAAAAATTCACTCAGTGCTAGTGTTGTGACTTGATAGAGATATATAATAGTTCATTAATACTTGCTGTAGGTTAAATGTATATGTGTAAGAGGCATATTTGACAGTTGAATAAATGATTGCAATGATAATAGAATTAAATTAAAAAAAAAATAATGCAACAAAAAATACGAAAAAAATAGTAAGTGAATAGTAACAATGAAAACGAATAATAGAGCGCCCGTCAGAAAATGAAAAATAAAAAATTCTTGATTTTAGACCTTCTGTATTTCGTATTAATATCACGAAGCTGAAGAACATATGTGAGTTCCACATTTCAGCCCCAAAGGGG